ACTTTACTAAATGGATGTAAAATTTGTATTCTTAAATTGTGAACTAAAGAAAACCATCTACATGAACCTGAAGGCTTCCTAATTCAAGGCCAAAAAAATAAAGTATACAAATTAAATAAGTCTTTATATGATTTAAAATAGTAAAAAAGAATTCTATGGCATAACTCAAAGAATTCCAAGCATAGCTCATTAAAAAATAGTAAAAAGAATTCTAATGTACATTAAGGGAACAAAACATCTAAAATTGTATTTTCAAGCAGATAAGCTTGACGTTATAGGATATTCAAATACATATTTTGAGGGGGATAAGGACGATAGTAAGTCCACCTCAGGGCATGTTTTTCTCCTTGGAGGGGCAGTTGTTTCTTGGTCTAGCAAGAAATAAGGGTGTATAACTAAGTACACACAGGAAGTAGAATACATTGCATGTAGCACTGCTTGTACTTTTGTCGTCTTTATAAAGCGCTTCATAGATGACTTGAAGCTGCAAATAATCGACGGACCGATCCAAATGTTTTGTGATAATCAAGCTGCAATTAAATTAATTCAAAGTGGAGCAAATAGCTCCAAAAGAAGACATATAGATATCCAATATCACTACATTCAAGATGCAGTTGAGAAATGTGATGTAAAAGTTAGTTACTTGCCCTCATCATATATGATCATTGATCCATTAACAAAAGGTCTAAGTGTTGAACTATTGTCTAAGCACTAGCTTAATGAGACTTAAAAATATTTAAGTCAGTTTTCATGAGTGTCAAATCCACATTAGCGTGAAAATCTTCATGATGGATTTTTGTTATGAGAGGCATATCCCCAAAAGCATGACAAAAAACCTTATGACAAGATATTTTTTTAAAGATCATACTCAAAAGTGGGTGTATGGATGTAACTTATTATTATACTCGGCCGTCATAATCAAGTGGGAGATGTTGACACATATGACCATGAGGCCTCACATGATTTAGATAACAATTGTGAGCTTGGAGGAATCTCATTATCCATAATTATCTCCAACGTTCATATGGATGCGTTTGATGAAATCAAAATCCCACAATTGTAGGCTAAATCGCGATTTCTATTTTGGATAAGGAAACATTGCTTATGCAGAAGACGTCCCTCACTTACCATTTCACAAGCCTTAAACATAAACACTCTAGGTAGCTCCAGATTTATCCTCTCTTGACCTAAACATTTACCTAGGAGAGAACAACAATATACTTCTCTTTAGTCATGTTGAATAGTGTTAATCACTTCATTTAAAGCTTGCAATATGTTAAAATGTGGCTAGGGGCCATCACTTGGTGTGATGGTAAAAGGCTCGGGTAGCCAGCTCAAGAGCACGGGTTTGAGTCCTGAGAGCAGTCACTTTGTACATAAAAAGCCAAATGTGAGGACCGTCTCCAGCTCATCCCTCTCGAGATCCTATGTAGGCAGGGCCAGCACCGAGTTATGGCTAGATCTGTCGAAAATAGTAGACAACTTGCTTCTTTCCTTTGTTTCACCCTCAAATGGCTTCTTCCATATTCTTCTAAACTTTCTTCTTGACTATTGCTCCTTGATGCTATGGCTTCTTCTTGGAGCGCTTCTCCAAATTCACCCTATTAACCATTTGAAACTTCTTCTCTTTCATATTTCATAGTCTATGTCTCTTCTTCAATCCGGAGATAAGTCATACGCTCTTTGAGGCTCATCTCCTACGGTTAAGATATTTTGATAATCTCCCAAGAAAACAATAATAGTTGTTAGTATTTTTTGTTTTGAAACATTGTGTGTATTTCAAAATAACAATATGGTTTTTATGTATTTTTCCTAAGCAGTTTTTTTTTGTGTTTTTTTTAAGCTGTTTTTGTAGAGAGAGAAAGTTGTGGGTTTTAGCCTCAAATTAAAAAGGAGGGTGGGGATTGAGTGATATTAATCGTAGGCATTCTCATGCCTTATACTCTTACAACAAAGGTGAGAGTGATGGTGCATACGGTGCATGTGAAGCGTGCGCGGGCATAAGAGCACTTGATAACACACTTTGCACTTCACACGCTCATATGGGACGTGAGTTGTCCCTCACCCAACTATGGGTCGGGCTCGAAGCTAGATATCTTTTTGTGAATATAGCTGGTGTGAGATGTCTAATGGTCACTAGCTATTAAAGAAGTGAAAGCTTGTAACAGTAATCATCGAGAATAAAGGGTGTGTATGTAACTTGTGATTGTTGGTGGTATATGTAACCACTCCTATAATATATGGGCATCCTCTAGGAATTATCTTAAAGGAGTCATTTTTTCCCATACGAACATACACTGACATCTCTTTTCATATCTTTTCTCATGCCATTCTCTGTGAAATTCCAGAGAGCATAACAAAGCTCTCATCTCTCTCTCTTTACTCTTTTTTCCTCTTTCTCTCTCCAAACAACATAAGACTTTGGTGTTTATTATGAGCTTTAAACTCAGGTACATAGATATTTGGAGCATAAAAAGAGACCTTTTGATTTTCTCATATCTCGAGAACGAGTTGCCTTCTTATGCACATTTATTACAGTATCGAAGGGGACAAGTATCGTTTTGAGATAGCACTCTTGTGTGCTTGAAAATAAGAAGGGTTCAAGCTTTAATTTTCTTAATTTGTATAATCCTTTTACCCATTTTTCATCCAATCGATTCCCAACAATAGTTTCCACTCGGAAAGCCTCATCAAGGTTCCCTTTCAAAATAACTGGCTAGTAATTAATAATTTTAAAGTTATGGTAAAGATCTATCGATAAATGCTTCTATTAGCATCTTGTGACTTGTACTTAGTCTCTAATGAGTCTTTAACAGTGGGCACTCTCAGTACGAGTCAAGTAGAGGGCCACTTAAGGCTTTTAAAATATGTCCCTTACTGTAAGGAATCTAGAGGGAATCTCAAAAGCAATTGAAACACAAAAACAAATAGATTGGATAGAAATTACATTCTTTTTTCATATCCGATTCTTCCTGTGCAGTTGATGTGATCCTCCAGTTCTTTTTTGTACACGTGTCCTCTAATTTGAGACTGAGAGTATGATGCTTGCATCTTAAGGCCAACTACCGATTATTAGAACTAGTCATATTGTTTACACAATGCAAATCCCAAGCCTTTGATGAAAGGGGCGAGAGTTCTTGGATCACTCATGGTTTTTCATTTAAAGAGGGTATTAGAGAGAGAAAACCAAAAGAGAGATGGGAG